GTCTTTTAAAATTTCAAAATCCTTCAAACGTGCATTATTTCCCTTGATGAACAGCCATTGTGACTCAACATTTCCTCCGCAATTGATAAGTATTACGTTATTCAAAAGAACAAGAATGAAATTAAACACGTTCTGGAAGACTTGAAGTTTTGAAAGATTGAAAAAGGTTTTCACGGACCTTAAGAGAGGGTCCGTGAGAGGACCACTCTAGGTCGCCGGAGAAAAAACTTTTTTTCTCCGATTTCGTTTTTTTAAATGATAGGTCTAGGTAAACTATAGTTAAATCCAAAATATTAGGTCATTTGGTTTTACCTATGAAAAATGCGAGCTAAAACAAGTTTAAGGAGGTCTATTTTTGTCCTAAAAAGCTACTAAAAATGGGTGTGCTCAGTATTTTGACATTTTCTCATGAATAGTTTGACCGTTTGAGATCGGGCATCTCTCATTAGATAGAGAACAGTATAGGCTATGAATTTATCCTATTTCGATGATTCATATATATAATAAAAGAAACACTATAGGTCAAAACCCTTCCAAACCTCAAGAAATCCTACACTCTAGGATAGCAGTATTTTGAGTTTTTCTTGGGTGGTGCAAGCGGTGCCAAACTTCTTTTTTTACCAGTCATAGATCTCGTCAAGATACATCTTTTGACATTAAGTTATCAAGATGAAATAACTCGAGGACCAAGTTAGCATTGACCACACTATGGGCTACTCTACCTAGCGACCATTGATTCTACCCCTCAAAGTCATACAATTTCTACAGAAATCATGGAAACTGACTTCAGATTCGTGTTCAGCTTGAAAAACTGGGTAGGATAGGTTATTTTAAATTGATGTCTTACTTGTATCAAGCATGTTCAAGATTATGGGTCCTCCTTATGAATATATGATAGATACATGTAACGGTGTTTTGATAATAATTCACTAATATTAATAGCTATCGAGTTCGAGTTTTTACCATTCTATAACCCTTTTTGAAAGCTACAAAACTATATATTTTCCAAGCTTATAACTCTTGATCACCTTAGCCTTACCCAGAGCTATTGGTCTCGGAGCACGATTTTACACATTTTTGTCCCCTATTTAGCCAGTTTTCCGTTATAAAACAACAATTTGAATCAAAACCAATGTCATATTCAGAATCAGCGTTAAAAACGGAGTCGATTCATGTATGTTTCAAAGCCTTATGAGAAAAATTTTTTTCTATGAAAAAATGACCCTGTACTCTCCCCCTCAGGGTTCATGAAAAAATGATTTCCCTCAAAATAGCGCTTTTGTCGTTAAGTCTTTTGCTATTTTACTTTTGTTGAAATTAGAGAAGCTTGGCTATTTCATTCCACACGATAAATGGCATTTTTAAGAGAAATCATTTTTTCATGAACCCTGAGGGGGGAGTACAGGGTCATTTTTTCATAGAAAAAACTTTTTTCTCATAAAACTTTGAAATATACATGAATCGACTCAGTTTTTAACGCTGATTCTGAATATGACATTGGTTTTGATTCAAATTGTTGTTTTATAACAGAAAACTGGCTAAATAGGGGACAAAAATGTGTAAAATCGTGCTCCGAGACCAATATCTCTGGGTAAGGCTAAGGTGATCAAGAGTTATAAGCTTGGAAAATATATAGTTTTGTAGCTTTCAAAAAGGGTTATAGAATGGTAAAAACCTGAACTCAATAGCTATTAGTATTGGTAAATTATTATCAAAACACATTTGCATATATCTATCATATATCCATGAAGTGGACCCATGATATTCAGCACACTTGGTACAAGTAAGAGATCAATCTAAAATAACCTATCTAGTCCAGTTTTTCAAGCTGAATACGAATCTGAAATCCGTTTTCATGATTTCTATAGAAATTGTATGACTTTGTGGGGTAGGGCCAATGGTGGCTAGAGAGGATAGGTCACAGTATGGTCCATGCTAATTGGCCATCGAGTTTTTTCGTCTTGACAATTTAATGTCAAAAGATGTATCTTGAAGAGATCTATGTCTAGTTAAAAAAGAAGTTTGACACCGCTTGCACCACCCAAGAAAAACCCAAAATACTGCTATCCTAGAGTGTAGGATTTCTTGAGGTTTGGAAGGTTTTTGACCTATAGTGTTTCTTTTATCATATATATGAATCATCAAAATAGGACAAATTCATAGCCTATACTGTTCTCTATCTAATGAGAGATACCCGATCTCAAACGGTCACACTATTCATGAGAAAATGTCAAAATACTGAGCACACCCATTTTTAGCAGCATTTTAGGGCCAAAATAGACCTCCTTAAACTTGTTTTAGCTCGCATTTTTCATAGATAAAACCAAATGACCTAATATTTTGGATTTAACTATAGTTTACCTAGACCTATCATTTAAAAAAACGAAATCGGAGAAAAAATTTTTTTTCTCCGGCAACCTATATGGAGAGTAGGGTGGTCCTCTCGCGAACCCTCTCTTAAGTGTCAAAATCTAATTTTTTCGTATTGAGCGACTCGCACTATTGTAAAGTCATTTTAAGAAGCATGAGTTGTAAAAATTGTGAATAAATTTTATAAGTTCGAAAATAGTAAAAAAACATTCAAAATTGTACTTTTTCAGTATATGAAGAGGTTTGACCTCACTAAAAATTATATTTAAAGCTGCAAACAATACAACGGCTTTATAAAATTGTCAAGAAAAGCTCTCTTTAAGTGAATTTTGACGAGGAATATGCGTGGAATATTGCATCCTTAGAGAATAATTTTAATTGTACCATAGTTCTGTTTGTGGAACCCACCAAATTCGAGACAGTAGGTCTGGGAAAAATCGTATCCTCCTTAATATATGTGTTTAATACTCTATGATGAAGGTAGAACTCATTAGAGCTTTCTCAAGGGAAAAAAATAAGCACAAAGACCGCTAGAAAAACATGATGCTTTCGATGTACCTCTAGCTCTGAAATTTCACTGTCCGTTTTCTAGTCACACTAAACGATGATAAATGTAAAGCAGTTTCATTCTCCTGTGGTTTCGTAGTCCATTTATAGTGCTAGAAAGTAATAATGTCCTAGCACCAGTGATTCTGTACTTTTTTGCTCCATGTCTCTTGCAGTTTTCATAGTGTCAAAACAAATGGAGAAACAGAGCAAACAGTTTGGACGATCGCTGAAAACTGTACTTTACACATATGTACTACGAACCTCCATTAAAACCCTATAGAAGTAAATACTCCCTCCCTCCCTCCCTCCTCCTTCCCCCATATTATTGGGTTGGGAAGAAAGTTTTTCCGTTTTTTTCGAAAATTTCGTAGACCAGTCAAGAAAGTTGTAGAGGTTTCCAAACTAAGACTATATATAGGGGGCGCGAATCTCTTTCGAATACAGCAATGTCAAATATCTCAAGGTTTAGAGATCTTCCGTAAAGACGCCGCATCTTCAGCGGGAGATACGGCATTTCCTGCGAGAGATACGAGTGTAGGTGTCGGAGATCTGCATCTCTAAGGGAAACGATACATTTCCAATAGTGAATGACCACATCTCCAGAGTGTGGGTGCCGTGTCTCCGGTAGAGATGAGGCATCTCTACGGGAGATCTCCAAAATTTGGGATATGTGACACTACTCTTTACTCAAAGAAAATTATGCTGAGCATTTAGTGGGGAGTAAAGGAAACTATTCATTGGGAACTTCTTCCATCTGGTTGTACAATTACTGCTAATCTCTATTGTCAACAATTGGACCAAGTTGTAGCAAAACTCCAGGGAAAGCAAGATAAAATTTACTTTTTACATGATAATGCCAGACCCCACATTGCAAAGTTCACGCCGAAAAAACCAGTTACAGCTCGGATGGATTACTCTCCAACATCCACCGTATTCTTTAGACTTCGCTCCTACAGACTATCACTTGTATCGCTCTCTGTTTAATCATTTACGCGAGAAAAATTTCGACAACGAGAACAACCTCAAAACGCACCTCGTCGATTTTTTCAGCCAAAAGCCCCAGGACTTTTACGAATGCAGGATCCTTTCTTTGCTAGAGGCTTGGTGACAAGTCATCGACAGTGATGGAGCATACATTGTTGAAAGCTAGCTGTACTTTTGAAAGTAAAAAATAAAAATAAAATTTTCGAGAAAAACGCAAAAACTTTCTTGCCAACCCAATAGAAGACACCAGCATAATAAAAGACCCCTTTGGAAAAAAAAATTGTTCCGCGTAATAGAAGACTCCCGCCGCCCATTTATTTGAGACTCTTTGTTTTGAAAACTGAGGTTTTTCATTAGTTTTTTTACCCCGAAACGTGTCTATTTCTGGGGGTTTTCAGCTGAAAATTTTTAAATCGATGAGTTCAAATCTACATTTAAGCTTTGAAAATTGTGAAAATCCTTTCTCCGATTTTCAAAATCGCTTCGGTTCTTTCAGAGGACCTTTTTAGTTACAAAAAGGGTGCGGGTCTTGTTTTCTCGTACCCACACCCACCCCCCCCCCCCCCCACCCCATGACTTATCGGTAAAAAATGTACTTCCTTCTGATTCATGTTGGCACATCGTCATGTATCGCCTGTTACACGTTGTTGCCGTTTTAGAAAACGCACGTGTCACTTCCTAAGAGTTGTAATCAAATCGGAATTGACGAAAAGAGTAAGAAGCATTGTCGGTGTACTTTACTATCACAATTAAAAGTAAAAGTCATCATCGTCTCAGTAGCATATCGAATATATTTGTCTTTCGCATTCTCTCAGCTATAGACTAAGACTATTGCTCATGAAAAAATATACACATTTGAGAGAAATTTTCCATTGAAGCCAGTAGACATAAAAGATAAAATGTTTAGGGAAATAGGGATGGCGACGAAATCATCACAAGTGTCTGCAACGACCGAGGGCATGCCTCTTTCTGTTGTTAATAAGCTCTCCTGTCCCGTTACCGATGAAATCCCTCATCCTATTATTGATGAAGCCATTGAACATCAAAATAGAGCCAATGCCACTCGTCTTCTCATTCGAAAGCTTGATTGGAGACTCATGCCATTCTTTTTTGTTCTCGAATTCTGTTCGTACATAAACCGTATTAGCTTGGGTAAGTGTTCTTGTCAGAAAAAGTCAAATATTAATATTGATATTCACTTAGGTAATATCCAATTAACCGGTATTAAACAAGATCTCAACATATCGGTAACGGAGAGTATGTGGCTCGTATCTCTCTTTTATGTAGCATATGTAAGAAAAGTTTGTTTTTTTCGAATTGTTCTATCGCATCTTTTAAGCAGTTGATCTTTGCAATTCCAAGTGTTATTCTTCAGCGCTTTCTTCGACCGACCTCTCATTTGTCGTTGAGTCTTATTGCATTGGGGGCATTTACTATAGGTATGGCTTTTGTAAAGAATATCAAAGTGCTGCTAGCCCTTCGATTTCTACTTGTAAGCGACTTGGGATAAAACAAAAGGAAAATGATGATCCATTGTACAATTCTCGTTAAAGGGTTTGGCTGAAGCTGGTGTCTTTCCCGGAATCATCATCTATATTTCTTTTTGGTATCGCAAAAGAGAACAAGCTATGAGAATGGCCATCTTCTTTGGCGCTGCCATTATTGCCGGTGCTGCTAGTGGCATTTTGGTCAGTATTCGCGTATTTTTGTTTCGATGTAATAAAAGCTGCTCTTAACACCATGGCCATTAGCAGAATGTTCCTTTTTGTGTACTCAAAAAGTGAGTACACTCTAGAATCGGTCAGTTTGTCCGTCCGTTTACACGATAACTTTTGAAAGGAGAGTCAGATCACGATGAAATTTTCTACACAGTTTAGTCTTAACAATGTCTCGGTCGAGTTCGAAGATGAGCGTGATCGGCCGAGGCATTCGTGAGTTATTGCAAAAATAGTCATTTTTCCCTATGGCTTCCTATGCGAAAATCGACTCATCCTAGGTTTCGTAAAAGACTTTTCTCATCATAGTCAAACAAAAATCCCAACTATTATATGCCATTCGATAGAGAATTTCACGAGCTGCAAAATAGTATATAAAACATAAAGGAACGAGAAGGCTAACTCACCTATTACAAAGATAATTAAACGGAAATAGGTTCCGTTTTTGTCCACCATCTAATTGACTCACAATTCGAGCTCTATCTTCCGATCATAGAGTTGATACTTTGAGGTTTTCTGGGGCGGAGAACGCGAATCCGTACTGCACTTGCCTTGAAATACTATTGGTTGAGTAGTGACCAATAGAAATCAAGTTATAGGAAAAACGACTTTCTCAGGGTAAATCAAGGCGAAGAGTTCAAATTTGAGCTCTATTCGCCTCTCAGCCCTATTGATGGATCAATAGCCAACAGAAATAAACAGTTTATAGGAAAGGTTTCCCAGTATAATTTTGATATCCACATATTCTAGGATGACTCATCTGTCTAATTCACTTTTTGAAGTACACATAACTCTCGGATTTAAATCTACAGTTTCCGCATTTATTGATTCTTTTCGTATTGTTCGCTGTCATCAGAATGAATCAAGACAAAAATAGATTCAATGAGGGAAAATAATCAAAGGATGTGGACAGTACAAAACAAATATTAATAGCAAGGGAAAGTGTGAAGGCATATGATGTGCATGCTCGTAACAAACATCACCTTGTCATATTATTTAACCATATTAATAGATGATAAAGTTTTCAAAAATAATTCAACTATTTGTAGGCCTATGGTATCATTCGAATGAATGGCATGGCTGGTCTTGAAGGCTGGCGATGGATATTCTTGCTGGAAAGTCTACCGATTATTCCACTCGGTATTATCACCTTTTTCTTCCTCGCAAACATACCTGAGACAGTTCAATGTAAATGAGAAGAAAAGTAGTAATTAAATTTCTCTTAATTCTTTCCAAATTTAGGGTTGGATCATTGTGAAAGGGCGCTGCTCACGACTATTCTCCAAGAGGATGAGGGCATGGCAAACAGTGAGTCATCACGAAACACACGTCTCTCATGGATCCAAGTGCAGCATGCATTTTTTGACTGGCGACTTTATTTATATAGTTTGATCTGTATGGGTATTTCGACTGCTTTCATTACTCTTTCCAATTTTCTTCCGTCTCTGATCGAAGGCATCGAGAACTCAGCATCCAAAGCTCACCTAATGATGGCGCCTTTGTACACTATCGCGTTTCTATCGTGTCTGGTGGTCGGTTATTCTTCATCATATTGGAACGAACATTCCATTCATCTGATGTTTTCCATGTCCGTCGCTCTTCTCGGCTTCATTTTGATGATGACACTGATAGAGCACGGTAAAGTCGCAACCTATATTAGTACATATATAGCATGTTGTGGAACATTTTCTGCCTATGTTATCTTGTTATCTTGGCTAACGAACAACGTGGGTGGACGTACGAAACGAGCGATTAGTCTTGGCTTTGTGGTGGGTATCGGCCAGATTGGTGGTATTGTGGGGCCTCTGGTAAGTTTTTTTCAGTTTACTTCGATTACGAATTGTGTCAGTGAGATTTGATGAGCATATTTTTTTAAAATGTGCCACAAGCTTCTGAAAAAATGGAAGTTACTAGGCAAAGAGGTATAGGCTAACTGTGAAGTTGTATGCATATGTGTATAGAGTATATTAACATGTTTTTCCACGAGAGTAACATTTTGGTTTTAAACAGTACCAATAATATATTTTGTATCAAATGAAAGGGCATCGAATATTGGATTCTTCAGTATTAAATCGTAAGGCTTCTAGCATTTTTTTGTAACAAGCATAACAAATCTCTAGAAACATGGTGCATAAAAATGGTTTTCCACGGAGATCATGCTGTGAATCATAATAGAGCCAATAACAAGTTCTATACCAAATGAAAGCGCATTAAAATTAGAATTTATCGGCATTAAGCAGTAAGAAGTTCGCCAATCTTTTGATACTGAATATAACAAGTTTCTGGACATATTCGATATTTCAATATTTAAAAAAATTCTTTCATGAGAGAGTTCCAAATAAATCTTATTCAAAATGATGGAAGGCATCAAGTAAATTTAGGTTTGATGATTTGACGAATACAAGCGATAGTCAATATGATATTCATTTGTATCTTTTGCTGCATGAAAGCGTGATTGATAGGAATATAAGAGGGTTGCAAATAAATCAGTATTTGACTCCATCTTTGTTAAAACATATAATTCGACTTTTTACTGTTTCTTCCCCATAACGGTTGTTTCGTTTCTGGCAACAATTTGTGCTCAAGTTCATTTTAAATTATTGCTCTAATGTGTTCAGCTACATTCAGATCAGGTGAATTTGCAAGTCGGATGTTGTTTCCCCAAAAATCTGTGCTATTATCCTGAAGCAAATGTTGAGCCATATTTGTTCACATGCATGACGCTTTGTCATGAACAAATATTAGATGATCCCGATCTATTACATACTATTCCTCTTTCAGAAACGGAAAGAAATGTGGCGTATAGGTGTCGATGTAGATGTTTTGGTTTACTCTATCGTCACACGCATCGACAGCCGTACCTACCTCTACTTCACGCCCATTCGGACCCATAGTGACTAGTCCAACATTTATCTTTATCTTTAATTAGCCAATGCAACTTTTTAGCAATGAAAATGATAAAAACGCCAATGCAACAATCCAAACATAAAATTCATTTGATGATGCAAGATGCAGAAAGTCTTCTTTAGTCCAACTTTTTAGTCAATCGCAAAACCGTAACCTGTCTAAAATATGAGTTTCTGCCTTTAAAGCATTTGGAATAATATGAAACAGCTTTGATCCGTCTTTATGATGATAACTGTCAACTCATATTTAAACAGCATATGCCTTGTGTTTGCCTGCAGTTTCTTTCACCAGAACATAAGGCTTTTTTCTTTTTCCTCACTTCTACTGAGAATGAGGTTTCTCCTTGCATCTGATAGTGGAAGCTTAAGGCCACATTTGGAATAATCAGCAAAACAATTATCATATAACTTTTCTCACCATTCTATAACAGATCGTATAGTACGATGAATTTTCTGTGCAATCTACTATTGGGTAATAAATGTTGCAACAACATCTCGAGCTGCATCAAAAGCAATACATTTGATTCTGTTGATGACTCTTTAGTGTTCACTGTCATAAATACCAGTCGTTCCTTGAAAATTAGATTAAATTGATGACTGAAAAGAATCAGTTGTTTTCATTTATGAAATTTGTAAATAACGAAGCAACACTGTACATGATTGTACACATGTTTAAAACTTTTATTCTAATACAAGGCAGAAGTGAAGGAAATATAATTCGATAAGTGAATTCAAAAAGTACTTGGAGAACGACAATGTGACCTATAGAAAAGTTTAAATGAAAGTTGCTCCGTGCTCTCTATTATTCGAAAGACATATCATTATTCATATTCATAAAAGATAAAAAGAGAACCGAATGAAAAAGAATAACATTATCTTTTGAACTGGGTCATGTTGAGTAATTATTACAGCAATACTTCAATCAATGTTTATTAAAAAAATTATCTTTCTTATTTAATGACTCATTAACAATAGGTTATCACAATTATACTGTGGAAAATTTCTAGTTTATTATGCTCGATATAGAAAGATTGGCGAAACCCTTACTATTTAATATTGACAAAAACCAAATTCGATGAGCTTACATTTGGTATTTAAATTTGTTATTGACCCTATTTAGAATCACATGATTTCTTCCATGAAAAAAACATTTTTATGCACCATGTTTTTAGAGGCTTTTTATGCTTGTTACAAAAAAAAATTAATAGAACCCTTATGATTTAATATCAATAAATCTCATTTTCGATGCACTTTCATTTCATAAAACATTTGTTATTGTTATTGTTTAAAAACACCATGTTACTCTCGTAGAAAAACGTTTTTATTCTCCCTATATAAGTGAATAATATAAGCAAGAGATCAGAATCAAATTTGAAAACATCGAAAAACATATAATGCTAGGTGTACCGTAATGTTGACAATCCGACATACAGACGAGGGAATATTATCAATACTGGAGTTGTAGTGGGCACTTTGGTAACGATTATTATTCTACGCATCTGTTTGGCGTGGGAAAATCGTCGTCGAAATAATTTGTCGTACGAAGAGTATCAACAAGAAGCAGCCGTTAAAGAACCATGTGATCGGGTGAGTTGATGTCGTGTTCGAACTAAGCATAGAATTTCATTATATTTTAGCATCCAGAAGTGCGGTATGTCCTGTGAAACGCAATTGGCTTTGACGCATAGCTTGGGTCACCCAAATTTCGATTAAAATAATTCAGCATTAAATATATTTTATTTCTATGAATTAATTATAACTTTAACGATATTCTCAATGTTTCAACTTTTCTTGGGCTAACTTGATCATTATTTTCTTTAAGAAATCTTCGACTACTCAAAATGTGCAATTATTTCATGTAAATTGTTTTCTTAGTACGCTGCATACTTGAAAGAATATGGGTGTGGGTGTGGGTGCGGGCGCGAGCTAGGTGTGGAAATAGCTGTGGTGCATAAGAATAGGTGTCGGATGAGAGTAGGTTTGTAACGGATGTAGGTGTGAGTAGAGAGGGTGTGGGTGTGGGTGAGGTGGTTTTGGGTGGGGTGTGGGTGTGGGTGTCGATGTGGGTGTATGAAGAAAATCATACTGACACCCACACCCACACCCACACCCACACCCTCGGATTTTACCTGTATGAAATATAGTCTGAAACAACGTGACCGTTTTAGGCATAGACTTACTAATTGATCGATACACACATTTTGTGCAAAAACTCCATGGGTCAAATACTGTTCCAAATTCAGAAAAAGCACTGACCGATAAAATTGATATTTTGACCTTAGTGTTTCCAGAATGATGAATGCTGAAATCATTTTTCATTTAAGCATACATCTCCTTCAAACACGTTTTCTGACGTATCCATGTTAAAGGTTAAATTATATCTTCGTGCTACTTCATGTTTTCCTTTGTTCTTGTCGATTCGAGTACTTGTGGAACTTAAAACGACTTACTTTTACTTCGTGTTTGTTGTTCTGCATGATGTCGAGGAAAATTATGTTTTCAGTCGCTTTGTTCGTATCAGTGGTAGAGAAGAAGAAAACTAATTACATATTTAATTTGTTCAAAGTGGAAAGTGTTTACTAATATTGTCAACACGTATAGATTGTATATAAACTATTAATCATCAACTGAGAAAAACTTTTATCTGAATGATACACTGACTTGTAGCTTAAGCAATTTTCGCCTAGTTTTTTAATATAATTAATTAATATTTTGAATTTTCAACTTAACTTTCTAAAATAAACTTTTATGTCTTAAAATAATATTATCCGTACAATGTCAATATCGTTTCGTGAAAAATAATAAAATATTTCTTTCTCTAAAATAAATTTCATTTATATCAAGAAAAAGAACTGCAAGCCATAAAATCCAATTAGATGATAATGATACTTTCATGCCAGATACACACTAACTGAACACACATACACACATACATAGGCACTTCTTAAGGAAGTCTCCCTTCACAAACAAACTTTTTTATTTTTCATCCAGTTTCAACTAAAAATTTCAGAGAATGTTAGTCTTGGATAGAATAGATTATGATAAAATATCTTCCCCAAATCTTCAAGATATGCACAAGTTCTAGTCAATTCATTGGTCAAAAGTATCATGTACGCGGGCAAGGTTTTCAAAAACGGTGATACGAACTAACGTGTCGAGGTGATTTTTAAATTGTAGAGTATCCCTAGGACTAGGTCGTAATAGAGCCCGATTTTTGAATATCTCTTTGTTTGTTTTTAAAAAAAAAACTTTTTTGGAAAATTCTTGTATTCGTGGCCAAAAAAAAACCAACGCTAGTTGAAACGTAAGCTTTGAGTTTTTTATTTCAGCAGAGGAGAAATTCAAAAATCTGGCTCTATTACAACCTAACCCTAACTGCCTACTGTATGATAAAAAAATTACCCCTTCTATATTGAGTCGTTGTTAAGAAAGATCTGTCCGCGTGTAAATGGTATACTCGAAAAAAACTGATTTTCAGAAAAACGCTAAACAAGTTTTAGAAATCGAATTTTTTCTTCAAATTCTTTAGATTTTTGCAAAACATACGTGAATTGTATATATCAATGTTCAGGAGAGGCTAGAAATCTGTGATCTTTATCTTAACTGTTAGTAAGCTCTTAATGATTAATACAAAAAACGTTTCATTCAATGCTGATGCAGCCGGAAAAGCAGTTTTTCAAAAACTGAAAAACTTTAAAAAACCGCGAAAAACATGATAACAGAACCCAAGTTTTAATTGATAAGTTTGCCAAAATCTAGTCGTCTTGCGAAAAGCTATATATATTCTGAAAGAGGAGACTTCGATGCATCTTCCTATGATAAAAACTCAACTTCGATTTTCCTTTAAAACAAAATTGGGTTTTCTGACGGAGCCCCTTAAGGGAGAGTCCACCAGAAGACCGATCAATACAAGCAAAGGTTAGCTGCAAAAAATCTTAGATTTTAAATTTATATATCTCATTCGAAAGTGCACAAAAGTTATTATGAAGAATCAAATATTAGTCCATTCTGACTTGCCTATGAAAATTGGTGAGTGTCACAGAAGGGGGAAAAAGTGAGACTCCCGTACTTCACGCACTCCCTTTGTACTCCTACTGTACTTCTATTGTACTCTGGGAGTACGGGAGTCTCGCTTTTTCCTCCTTGGGGTCACAATTCTTCAAATATTCGGATGATGATCTAAAAATTGACTTTTTCCATCTTAGTCGTATTTTGCAATTTTCTTCTCCATCGTTTGACAATATGAGTTGTGGAATATCTCAGATGATAGAGGATTTCTTTCTCTTCAAAATTGATCTATTCTATTAATTTTTCAATGGCATTTTTTATGAGAAAGGATCAAACTCGAAAAACTAAGGATGCAGTTTTGCTAATCAATTTTTAGTATCATGGACGAAAATATTACTAAAATACGAACTCTCAGCCTGAATTGTTTTAATGTTTTAGCTCTGGCCATGGTGCATCTTGTGCTATCTATGTTTTTTCTTGAAAAATTTTATCAGAAGATTATAAAATTTTTCTTCACAAAAGATGAAATATACTATTATTTGACATCTTATATGTCATTTTGAATGATAGTTAGCAGATTTTGATTAGAAGAATTACTATTTGAGTCAAAATTAGTAACATATTTGAAATGAGAGTTGAAAATTGAATCAATGTATGTGTATGTTTCAAATTTTTTCGTTATTTTTTTATTGAAAAAGCCGACCAGGAGATCCTCAGGATTCAACCCAAAAATTGATTCCTTCAAAATGCTGTTTCTATTCCCCTTTTCTGTGCTATTTTGCCATCTCATAGTATTATGCAAGCTCGGAAGTTGCTTTATACTGTCTAAAACAAATTTTTGAGCGAATTCATTTTTCGACTGAACTCTGAGAGTACCCTAATCGATTTTTTCGATAAAAAAAATAACGAAAAAATTTGAAACATACACATACATTGATTCAATTTTCAACTCTGATTTCAAAAATGTTATTAATTTTGACTCAAATAGTAATTCTTCTAATCAAAATCTGCTAACTATCATTCAAAATGACATATAAGATGTCAAATAATAGCATATTTCATCTTTTGTGAAGAAAAATGTTATAATGTTCAGATAAAATTTTTCAAGAAAAAACATAGATAGCACAAGATGCACCATGACCAGAGCTAAAACATTTAAAAAATCCAGGATGAGAGCTCTTACTTTGGTAATACTTTCGTCCATAATATTAAAAATTGATGAGCAAAATTGTATCCTTAGTTTTTCAAGTTTGATCCCTTTCTCATAAAAAATGCCATTCAAAAATTAATAGAATAGATCAATTTTGAAGAGAAAGAAATTCTCTATCATCTAAGACATTCCTTAACTCAAATCGTCAAACAATGAAAGAAAAAATTGCAAAATACGACTAGAATGGCAAAAGTCGACTTTAAGATCATGATCCAAAAATTTGAAGAATTGTGGTCTTCGTCAATTTTCATAGGCAAGTCAGAATGGAATATTATTTAATTTCTCATAATAACTTTTTGTGCATTTTCGAATGAGATATTTAAATTTAAAATCTAAAAATTTTCCATAGCCGACATGGTTGGTATTTTGTCAGACCCTCTTAAATGACTACTGTTATGTTCTTTTTATTTATTCTCTTTAATCAAGTAACTTTAATATCACAAACATGTACCCATATATATTATCAACGAACAAAAGAAAAGAAAAAAGAAAGGTAACATGATAGAATAAAACAACGATGAACAGTTATTGATGAAGATGTCATAAGAAGGTATTATTGGCATTTGCACGAAGAAATCACTAATTTTTTTATATAAAGACCAAGTAAACGTTGATTTTGTATTTGTCATGCATATTGTTGGATCTGTTATATTTGAATAAAAAAGATGACGATCATTTATTGGTGTTGTCGATCGTGTTTCATATGATTGAGAACTAATATTATGAATCAACATCTTAACATTTGATTTATGTTTATCATAATTAAGTGTCTTCAACATGACAATTTCTTCTAAAAAAGAACAAAAAGAAAAAATATTTATAAATATGAACGAAATTCTTTTCTTTTCAAAATATTAACTTGTTTATTTATCATTTACTTATGATATGGGCATGCAATAATTTTATGAATTTAGTTTAAACTTTAAATAAAGATTTGTGAATCGAAAAGAAAATAAATATTAATCTCACTTTTAATTTTGATGGAATCATAGAAACTTTTTGCATAGATCTATTATTAAGATAATCAGAACTCACTTAAATTCCTCTTTTTTCAATCAAAAAACTTCGTTTTTCAATAAGATGTAATTCTCATCCTTCATTATTTTAAACAAATTAAATCAATTTTGTTTACCTGGAGTTTCACTAGCAAGTCTCCATCGACCAATAGCCATATTCCAATTAGGATATTTTCTAACAAAATATTGAAATGAATTGACGATGTAGTCTAATTGTGTATTTGATAAGTTTTTCTGAATTGATATATAAAATTCAAATGTATATAAATATGGAGCATAACATTTTAATATATCTTCCCACACATAACCATTAAGCAATTCACAATTATATAGCAATCCTCTCATTTGTACCACAAGAAAAAAATTAAAACGATTAAGACTAGGCATACAACGTAACATATAAGCAATTGCATAAATATCACATATAAGAAGAACTGCTAAATTGAAAGATATCAATTTTGGTAATATTGGATAGTCAGTATCATTAAGAGATATTGTTGAATTTGGAACACTAAAACAAAAAAAACCAAACATTTCATTTTCATTTTTAATCATTATCCTTTTAGAGATTTATTATCGAAAATATCTACTACTTAGAAACTTACTTGACATCATTATTTTGAACTAAAAATTTGTGTTCTAGTATTAAGCCTAAATGTCGAATTCCATGACAAAGACGAAATATTAATAAAACTGAATGAATCGATACAGTTGAAAGTGTACCATGTATACGTAAATGAAGTGATGTAAGATTTGAAGATATTGAAGTATAATTTGATATATCGGCATAATCATAACTATGTTTAAGTACCATTGAACGAAGAGAAGATGATTTATGCATTAACATCATTCGAGTTAAATTACAGTTATCTTTTTCATTTAGATTAAGATATGGATCAAAAAGAGTAAATGTAACAAGTTTATTTAAACTTTCAATTTTTTTAAAAATATTTTCAAGTTTTGTTGATGAACTAATTGAAGTAAATATACATGATTGAAGATTAATAAAATTGTGTTGATTAAATAATAAATTAATAACAGATGAATAATCACTAATTATATCATCAATTTTTAATGAAATAACTTGATGAGCATGAAAAGTAAGATGTGAAGAAATAAAATCAATTTGACGATGACAATAATCATGTGAAATAATAATATGAAGTGGAATGAATTGCAAAATAGATGAAATTCGTTGATTTAATGAAGTAAAACCAACAAAAATATCAAATGCATGTAAATAATCAAATATTTCGAAGAATATCT